ATATTAATATTTTCCTATTTTTATAAGCTTATTGAAAAAAAAATACAGGTATGGGCATAGTCCTTTGCCTTGGATAGGCCTGCACCACACACCGGGCCTAAATTTCAATCCCTGACCCAATTTTTTATCAAAATTTACTAGTTTAGGATATTGGATATGGTAATATCCAAAATTACCTGCATAACAAAATCTCATATTATGTGATATTGAAATTGATATTGATAAGTTTCCAAAAGGAAATAAGAATCTAAAAAGATTAGGACTCTTGGGTATATCTCTTGGTTTTGAAATATATGCAATATCTATAGGAAGTTTCCTATTTGGTGTGGACTATTAACTTTATATATATGATATGAAAAAAGAAAGAGTATATATGCTCTATTTGGGTCAATGTGGTTTCCTCTAAAGAGAGAGGTAAGGCCTTCTCTACATCAGAGGCAATGCCTCCCCTTAGAGAGAAGAGAGCTTCCTATAGAGAGAAACACTATAGATATGCCTCCTGTAGATTGAGAGATTAGTTTCTTGTAAAGAAGAGGTTCCAATAAAGATTTTATGTAGGCCTCCCCTCAAAGAGAAGATAGTTTCCTATAGAGAGAAACACCCTGAACGTGCCTCTTGTAAATTGAGATGCTGATTTATCGTAGAGATACAGTTACCATGAAAATTTTGGGTAGTTCCCTTTTTAGTGAGAGAAAGTATCGATTGCTTTCAAGGATCTCTTCATGCACAACAATTTAGTTGTTGTGGAATAGAGATGGGTCTCTTCCTGGATAGTGGTTTAGGTATAGAATAGAGATGAGAGATCATCGAGGGTCGTGCTGATCGGGAGAGCGGGTCTAAAAGAATTTACGCGAGTGGGTTTTGTCGAGTGTTAGAGAGGTAACTCTATGTCCCAAAATCTATGATGTAACTTTTACTGATATAGTAGATTTTAGTTTGTCATGTCCATGGATGTATCCCTCTTAGAGTGAACTATGTGACATGTGTGTTTTATGCATTATTTCTCATAATATGGCTCATACTCTCTCCCATTTTGTTTTTAGTTAGATAAGTACACAATCTTGGTGGAAGCTAACTTTTGAGATTCTTGTTTCCACATCTAAGAGGATTATTAAATCCTAATAAGTGATATCAGAGCCCATGGTTTAGTACATGGCTCGTGTTTGTGCATTTGGCTGAAGAAACGCACATGTAAAATATGCGAGTGTATTATTTGAGGTGTAGAAATATTATAACAAGCACTATTTTCTAGCAGGAATGATTTGATTTATTTGGCAATAGATGAAGAATTTGTAAAGTTATCTAATGGATGTTGGCATAGTAAGCACGTAGTTTTGATATCAAGGTGGAGATTGTTGTATATTGTTATTTTTAAAATCACCCGCATAAGAAAATCTCATATTATGTGGGATTGAAAATGATATTGATATTGATAAGTTTTCTAAAAGAAGTAGAAACATAAAAAAAATTAGAACTCTTGGGTATATCTCTTGGTTTTGAGATTTTTATAATATCTATGGGAAATTTATTACTTGGTGTGGAGTTCTAACTTTATATACATGAGATAAAAGAAAAAAGAATATGTATCCCATAGTTGGGTCACCATATGGAAAATGTGGCTTTCTCTAAGGATAGAGGGAGGGCCTCCTCTACATCAGAGACAAGGCCTCCCCTTGGAGACAAGCGAGCGATACAAAGCCTCCCATTAGAGAGGAGAGCTTCATATAGAGAGAAACACCATGGATGTGCCTCCTGCAGATTGAGAAGCTGATTTATGGTAGAGAAGCACTTCCCATGAATATTTTGGATGGCTCTCCTGTTGTGTAATAGAGACGAGTCTCTTCTTGGACAATGGTTTAGCTGTAAAATAGAGATGATATATCGGCAAAAGTCGTGCTGATCAGGAAAGCGGGCTTGAAAGGGTTTGCTTGATTTGTCGAGGGTTAGAGATGTAACTTTCATTGATGTAGCGGATTTCAGTGGATGTAGCTCTCTTGAGATGAACCACATAAATGTTTGTGTTCTTGTGGCGTGTGTGTTTCATGTTTTATTTTTCGTATTATGGCTCGCACTCTTGCCTATTTTGTTTGTAGCTAGACAAGTATACGATCTTAATAGAATCCAACTTTCGAGATTTCTGATTCCATATCTAAGAGGGTTCTTAAATCCTAACATAGAACAAGGGTGTTTCGGGCTGGGCCAGGCCAAATGGCTCATTGAACCCCTATGAAAAAGATTAATCCAATCCAAGATTAAAAAAAAAGAAAAAACACTCTAGCGTAGAGGGGTTTTCTTAGGAGAGTGAGCGCCCCTTCCCTAGCGGTTCAGAAAACAGAAAAGGTTCTGCCCCCCCTTCTATGGCATCCCTTCCCTAGCGGTTCAAGCAAAACCTCAAGATTAGTTTTAGGATCCTAAATTCTTGGATGTGACATTGTTAGAAGTAGATTATCCTTAATAATGATAATAAAATCAAAATACCGCCCTTTGAGATTCAACACAATCACCATTATCATTATTATCTAGGAAAAATTTCATACAGATCCCTAATTCCCCATCGTATTTCACGGTAGGCCCTTCTTCTATTTTTTTTTCAAGCGGCATAAAAAATCCTCAAGTATTTTATCGTACCCCTTCATCTCTTCTCTCTCATGTTTATTCGCTTTTGGCCACAAAAACTGGCTCCAACAAATTGTTTTATTCTATCTCAATCCAAAAGCTTTTTTAAAAAGTGTAAAATAAAGTTCAAAAGGTTTTTGGATTGAGATGAAATAAAACAATTTGTTGGAGCTAGTTTTTGTGGCCAAAAGTGAATAAATAGGAGAGAAGAGATGATGGGGTACGATGAAATACTCGAGGGTTTTTTTATGCCACTTGAAAGAAAAGTAGAAAGATAGTCTACCATGAAATAAGATGGGGAATTAGAGATCTGTACGCTATATTTCCTATTATCTAACTATTTGGGTCGGCTGGATTCAACAAAATGCATCTTAAAAGTGATAGAGGCCATTCAAATTTTCAACAGTTGCATCTCAGCATTTTAAAACTCATAGACTTTCGGTTAAATACTCGTTACGTGATTCTAAAGTGGATCACAATTTTTATATTGAAAAGATTGTCCTTAGAAGCAAATTTTCCCAAGGGAATAAATGTATAGTGTTCTCCAAAGGAGATACACCATATGTCTTGAGAGAGAGAGAGAGTGCTGTTTTGTGAAGTGTAAGTTGTGATTCAAAAATTGGACTTGGACTTCAACTCAGTAGGGGTCTGATTTCAATTCAACCAGTTCGACTAGGGGATTTCGAGTCAAATCAGTTTCGATTTAATAGGGAAAATAATAAAATAAAAAACCAAAATACTCTGGGTGATTTTCAGGATTTTTCAGCCTACAATTACTAACCTCTCGGTAGTTCAATTCATGCGATTCTCGAGTCAGACAGGCAACTCTTCAATCGCTAGTAGAAAGAGTGAGACTGATTGGTGAACATAATGAAATGGGAGCCTTTTAGGTATGGGTCTATGTTTTGTTCAAGCAGTTCATTAATTTTTTGTAATTGTTGCAGCAAAAATTTCATTTATTTGTAAAAACAAGGGACTTACAAAAATAAAAATAATAATTCAGATCTCTCATTCTACAAGGGACCTACAGGGAAACACTGGCTAATTCAAATTACAATTCCATAGGTCACTTATTGGAAATGCGTGAGAGAGAAACATGTGCTAAATACAAACTCAAATTCAATAGGTCATTTGTTGGAAGTAAGTTATTAATAGTAAGTGCAATGTCAAAACTATTTTGTTACTAATATGTTTTTTTTTTTTAAAAAAAAAACTATTGTGTTACTCTTACTATGGATGTATTGTTAGTAAGGCTGGCATTGGACCACTTGGCCCGGTCCTATTGTCCTTAAAACCTAGAGCGTGGGCATAAAATATGGCTCCGAGGGCCGAGCGACAATGGCCTGAGGATAGTCTTGGGACATGTCTGGGCTTGGGCTATGTCAAGGCTGACCTGGTTGGTCCTCTTGGGCGCTGTCCATGTGGGGCCATGCTCAGGTGAGCCCCATGAGGGCTAAGGTCAAGCTACCGGGGCTAGCCTGGCCCGACCCAGGCTGGGGCAGTGAGCAAAACAAATTATTTTATTTGACAACTATAGAAAATACTCATCCTATTATTCTAAATGGCATCTGAAATTCCTTAGAAAATAAAGGAAAATAAAGAAAACCAAACTTTTTTTTTTTTTGGTAGCAACGTTTAGAAATTTTATTAATAATAGATGAAAATTACAACATGGAGGTTAATTACCAAAGACCATCCACAACGCCGAAGAAACACCTATCAGAGCATGAGCAACTTCATTGGATTCCTTATATATATGATGGAATGATATCATATTTTTCCTTCTTTTTCTTTTTTACACTGTTTAGAAGTTTTATTAATAACATATGAAAATTACAACATGGAGGTTATATTACAGAGACCATCAACACCGCAGAAGACACACCTCTCTTCACCAGAGCATTGACAACTTCATTGGACTCCCTATAGATCAGTGTTGCAAAATCGAACCAGAACGGTTAACTGGAAGTGAGTCCAGAAGCAGTTTAACTGGCCCAACCAATAAATCGACCAATTCAACTGTTCTAACTAGACAAGTCTCGGGCGAAAAAAAAAATACAAAAAAAATCTACTAAAATATGAAAAACATAGAAAGAATGATTAAAAACCCATTCAAATGAAGTTGAAAATTAATGGAAAAATAGATTTAAAGAATCGGTTTGTGTCTAGAGATATTTTTTAAATTTTTTTTTAAAAAATGGAAAAATATAAAAGTGAGAATTAATGGCCAAAACAATTTATAATATTTACCATAATATAAATAATATTAAAAAAATATATTACAACCAAATTCCTTTTTTGGGATTTCATATACATTTTTTTAAAATTTTTTTCCTTAAATACCAGCTGATCCAAAAGCGTCTGAAATTAGAAGAAGCGCGGTTACCTAATAGATCGCCCTGTAAGACCCCAGTGTTCCTTATTACACCAAGAATACCCGTCCACAAACGAAATCAACTTCCAATTTCCTCCTTAAAAAGCCTCAAGCCCTACAAAAAGAGTGACTGATTCAGCTTGGTCAGCAGTAGTAGATCCAAAACGAAAAAATTACATTCCCATTAAAATCTCTGAAAAACCCCCGGCCCGCTGGCAGCTATCCATCACAAATTTGTTTTAAAAACCCTGTTAAGGGAGGTTGCCCATTCACTCTCGCCCTAGATTTCAACAAACCTAAGCAGCGGGAGCACTGTGCTATCTTCTGCTACTATCTGCGAGCAACGCCTGCTGCTACTTGACGAGGGCAACAGTAATGTAATGCGTGCTCGCCCTAGATTTCAACAAACCTAAGCAGCGGGAGCACTGTGCTATCTTCTGCTACTATCTGCGAGCAACGCCTGCTGCTACTTGACGAGGGCAACAGTAATGTAATGCGTGCTCGCCCTAGATTTCAACAAACCTAAGCAGCGGGAGCACTGTGCTATCTTCTGCTACTATCTGCGAGCAACGCCTGCTGCTACTTGACGAGGGCAACAGTAATGTAATGCGTGCTCTGCAAACCCTGCAATCATCTCTCTTTCCTTTTTTTCGCCCTAACTTTGTCTCTCCAATCCCATTTCTCAGACACCTACACAACCTGCAAACCCTAGAATTTTCAGAAGAGTCCTCCAGCGATGCTGACAATGGTGCACCCAGTAGCTCCTCAACTCTCCGTTCATTGCAGGCAAGAATGGAGTTTTACGCCAGAGCTGGAGAGGTATCAGAAGCGCAGAGGACACTTTACGAAATGGCGGGCTTATCGGGTAACAAACCCTCTGCCTATGATTATAATGCTCTCTTTTACAACTACCTCAAATCACCGGATGCTTCTTTGTCGAAATTGGTTGAAATTTTTACGAGAATGAACAATTTTGGCCCTTTGCCTAATGCCTCAACTTATAATATAATGCTTAATGGGCTTTTTAGATTAGGGTTCTTGGACGAATCCTGTAGGATTGCGGAGGAAATGCATCGAAATGGGTTTGTTCCCTCGTTTGCTTCTCTGATGAAATTGTTAAATAGACTTCTGAATTCAGGCTTTTTTGAGCGATCGATTGATATGCTAGAACTGATGTTGAGATTGGATTATATTCCCACTTTTCCGAGTGTTAATTATCTGATCAGTTATTTGAGCAATAGTGGTTGGGTCCGTGAGGCATTTTTCTTGTATTGGGTTCTCTGTGATAGGGGTTTTGTCCCAAATGTGTACAGTTACAACCCAATTCTTTTGGGTCTCTGCAAATTTGAGGGAAGCTCTTGTGCTCTGGCCTTCTTTTGCCAACTCAAAAAGATGGGTTTTGTTCTTAATGTGTATTCATATACAGCTCTGGTTCATGGGTTTTGCAGAGAAGGATTATTGGGCGAAGCCTATCAGGTTTTGCAGTTAATGGACGATGAGGGTTGTGAGCCCAGCACTGTTACTTACACTATACTCATCAAGTTTCTCTGTGACCATGGCAAGGTTGATGAAGCTTTTGGGATTTTTGCAGAAATGGAGAAACATGGTGGTTATCCTGATTTGGTTTCTTATAATATAATTCTTCGGGCTCTTTGTTGCTGCCATAGGGTTCCAGAAGCCTGTGAGTTGATGCGTGTTATGGATGAGAAGGGTTTCTCTCCTGATCAGTTTAGTTACTGTGCATTGATTGGAGGTTTTCTCAAAGTGGGGCAAAACTCTTATGGTGTTAAGCTAATGGATCATATACTTAATAGTGATCTTGACTTAGATGTTGTGAACTGTAATATTTATTTTAATTGGTTATGCCATGCGAATAGATGAAGAGATGCCTATAATCTGTTGATGCTTTTGAAAGGCAAGGGTTTTAACCCAACAATTGTTACTTTCAATACCATAATAAACGGTTTTTGCTTGGAGGGAAGACTTGAGGAAGCTATAGAGATTCTTGATCAATTAACTGGAATTGGATGTAAGCCTGAATTGGTTTCTTACAATACTGTTATGTGGGCAGCTTGTAAAGAGGAAGATGGTGAAAAAATACGTAGAATTTTGCATCAGATGGTGATTGATGGCCTGAAAATTAGTCTATTTATCTGCACCTCTTTGATTCAATACTTTTGCAGTCGTGATGAATTCTCAGAAGGTTTTAAGTTATTGGATGCCATGAAAAATATTGGCATGAGTCCTACCATTATTACTTACAATGTTCTGATGGATGCCCTCTGTAAAAAGGGGTTGTGTAAAACCGCCCTTAGGGTTTTCAAGGATTTGAAGAACTTGAGGCTTTTCCCCGATAGGAACTCTTTTAACATTCTTCTGCATGCTTTTGTTAAAGAGCCCCAGTGGCCACTAGTGAGCAAGCTATTGATCGGTATGCATGAACAGAGTTTGATGCCTGATGCTTACACTTTCAGTTCCTTGATCTATGGCCTCTGTAAACATCAGGAGGTGTCTTCTGCCATATATCTGCGCGATCAGATGCTACAAAATGGAATAAAACCTACTACCAGTGTATATAATACTCTGTTGGATGCCAGTCTTAACAGATGCAAGTTATGGCAAATATATCATATCTTAGTTGATATGGCTAGAGATGGGTGTGAACTGGATGCAGTGTCCTTTAGTATTTTGGATTGTGTTTTGTCAGAAGGTGGCCCTTACGGATATCCGAGGGCTATTATGATGCTGAAGGCTTTTATTAAAATGGTTATGGAACAGTGACATAATATAACTGACAAAATTTTACGAGAACTTTTTCGAGTTCCTTTTGGTTTCAACCATGAGGGTTATTGTTGAATCAGTCTTAGATCTACACGGTCTGGTATAATGTAATCCTCAAGATTGCATGATTTATGTGGTCATGAGGGTCATTACTTTTTAATCAATAGATCAGACATGGATGGAGGGGAGTGAGACCAAACAACACAGTAATGTTATGATTCTCCCACATTATCCAATCCCATTGATTGGTTGGACATTGATGTTGGCCGTTGATCAAATTTAGAGCAGAGAAATTGTTCTATGATTGATTACCTCATGTAATCATTAGGTGTGATATGCAGTATGTACATGATGCAATGGGAGTTTGTTCGTTGTTGTTGAAAGTTGAAATCCAACTACTTTCGACTGGGTCTGGAAAAGATATTATCTCACTGATATGGCTTTCCATCTTTGAAATTGGTATGCACATGAACCTCTCTCTTCATCTTTGGGACCATGGGAGACCGTTCAATTTTAAGAAGCCTTGTTTTTACTTGTTCTTCCCTGTTTCCTTTGTTGCCTTCTAGTTCCCTTGTTTTTATTGATTGACAGCTACTAATTTATTCTTCTTTTTTTAACAGTAAATGTTTTCTGCTGAATGAATACTAGATCAAACTTACCTGTACAGTTATTTGTTTGGCTCATCCCTTAGTGAGAAGATCTTAAGTTTTTGAAGATACTGACAATATATTGATGATTATAATTACAAAAAGCCTCACAAGATGTAAAAGAAAGGCCGTCCACATGTTGGATGCTCTTCATACCTAAATAAAGTGTAAAAATAGAGTCCAAATATAGATCTAGGCATCCCACGAGTTGAGTGCTCAAACACTAATGTAATGGGCATCGAGACATAGTTTCCAATTGAGATCCAGAATCAATTTAGGAATTAGAAGCTCGCAATCACGCGGCTAGAAGATTCCTATTATTGGAATCAAGGTCCATACAATGTGAATTGCAAGAATAGAAATCCTACCTTATGGCAATCACCTTCCAACCCATGTGGAATCAAGATTCTGACCTCTTTGGACTCACGCACCAACCCATTTGGAATCGAAATTCATACCTTTTTGGAATTGAGTTTCAAACGATTGAAGTCAAGATTCATACCTTTATGGGATCACACACTCAACAACTTGGAACCACAACAGAAATCAACTGAAAATGAGTTTCATAGTACCAAAGATTCATGGTTCTAGAATATACTTATGCAATAATTCCTTAGCATTTGATTGATGTAAATGTGCTTAGCCATGATTTCCCTAGTATTGGAATTGCGATCCTCTGAATAAGGGTCCCTAATGATTCGAGGTTTCAAGCGTGAGCTGGTTAGTGATTTGTACTCTTAAAATCCTATCAACATTCGGGGATATGGGCTTTATATGATTTCTAATTATGCGAGGAGGGTGAAGATGTGAAGTACTTCACTTTTAATGCTTTAGGGCCCAAGTTGTAGCTGGTTTGGACTTTCCTGCAAAAGGCATTAGAAGATACTTTGTTAATAACTCTAGACATTTGCATTTGAATGTTGATTCCATGTTACCAAAACTTTGACCATGGGATTCAATGTTCTCGAATTTGGATTCCAAATCAGTCATATTGGTTTTTCATTAATATTTGAAGCTAGATTCCATGTTGATTAAATCATGGTTTCATGCACCTATGAACCACAATATTTGATGCTGTGGAATCGGGATTAAAAAAAATAAAAAAATAAAAAAGATTTGAGACTGGATTAAAAAGAAAAATAAAAAAATAAAAAAGATTGAGATTATATAAAGGTGGAAGCGAGAGCATGTTGATCGAATTGCAATTTCCTGCGCCTATGAACAACGGTATTTGATGCTATGGAATCTGGATTTCAAAAAAATGAAATCGAGATTTCTAACTTTATAGACACTGATTCCATGAAGATTCCTTAAAGGAATCACTGAATTGAGATTCTAAAGCAGAATCACCTCTTGGGGTGAGATATTCTTGTAACTATGATTACATAAAAGAGATATATTTACATTCTAGATAGTCTCAGAAAGATATTATAGCAAAATTTGTACCCAGAAGAGTAGACAATGGGAAAGGTAAGGAAATGGGAGGATAGTATAGGAGTAAAGATAGAAATAGCATAGAGGTAGAAGGTAAAGAATACAATGCAGAAGAGAAAAATAAAAGAGGGGGGTGGGGAGGGTGGAGATCGAAGGAAGGTAAAGAAGAGGGAAGATAACATAGGAGTAAAAACAGAGATAATGTTGAGACATGGGATAGACAAACTAAAGAGTAATAGGGTGAGGGAGAAAGAGAGAAAAGTAGACTGTAGGGTGAAAAAAAAGAGAGTACAGAGTAGAACATAGTGGAGAAAAAGAGGAAGAGTAAAAGATGAAAAAAAGAAGATGTAGGAGTTAGAAGGATACATAAATAATTCAATTGATGTTTGGTGCACCACTTGTAGCAGCACCCTATGTAGCCAGGGCATCCACCATTGCATTGGCTTTCCATGAAATATGATGGAAGGCAACATGATGATGCCTGCATAGGTGAAATACTTATCAAATATATATGAGAGTCTCCATGGACATCGACTCCCATTGGCCGACAAGATGACATTCTTTGAGTCCCCCTCAACTATGAGATTTTCTCCCCAATCTAGTTTAAACCTCTTTAAGCCTTCGAGCAGTGCGTTTGCCTCAACCTAGATTGTGTCACTTGTACTAAGGAAGTTTTAGAAAGAGGAGATGGTGTTTGCCTCTGAGCCGTGGAAAATACCCCTAAATACACAAGTGTCGGGATTACCCGATGAGCAGCCTTCAATGTTATGCTTAATGGTTCTTGTTAGAGGGCTCCACGGGGTGAGTATGGAATTTTGGGAGATGTATTTGATGATCCTGGACTAATGGGAGGTGAAATCAGGCCTGGAGAAGTGTTTGACACCTTTGAAGTTTGTTTCCCAAAAAATGGTGAGATTTCTAGCATATTCAGCGATGGCAACCTCGTTCTGTGTTTTGCTCTAAATATTTTTTAGTTTGACTCTCTCCAAGTTATCCGTAGGGTGGCTAGGCCAAAAGCTCTCTGTGGGCATAGACCTGCTTTGGGATTGGGTGGAGAGTAGAAGATTGAGAGAATTTGTTCAATGTATGGTGGGGTCACCACTAGCCATAGTTTCAAAAAGCACTAGGCTGGTCTTGGGCAGCCTGGGGGGTCCAGGCCGCCCAGGCGGGTGCTCAGAACCTGGGCGGCCCATTTGAATCCAAATAAGGATTTTGGCATTCTGCAGTTATGTCAGTATCAGTTATATGTATTGCAATACGTAATATACTACATATTATTTAGAACAATCTAGTTTGAGTTTGATTGCTCAATTAAAAAATAGTGCAAATTACTAAAGCAATAAAAAAAAATCACTTACTTTGAATTTGATTGCTCAATCTTCAAACTTCCACCTCAAAGATGCTTCTAAATACTCAAAATCTTCTAAAAAACCCCCTAATAACTTTGCAAAACATCAAAAAGTAAATATAATACCAATGGGTGATGTTTTGATCAATTTTTGTTAAGTTTGAGTAACCCTTTGATACTAAAAATTCACCACAGTCTAGTTTTTTGGGGGCTCTCTCTCTAAATTTGGCTCCAACAAGTTTTCGGTTTCAAATGAACCTAAAACCCGAATTTTTGGCACTTAAAAACAAAAAAAGAGACAAAAATGTCCTCACTGAATGGTTTTTTTTGCTCCTGGGCAGCCGCTCAGGGCTGGGCACTCGCCTAGGCGGCTGCCCAGAGATCGACCGCCCAGATTGGCCGCTTAGGCATGGGCGATACACCCAAGCCTTCTGGACCGCCTAGGCGGCCGCTTAGGCGCTGGGCGGTTCGCTTTTTGAATCACTGCCCCTAGCCAATTAAACCAAAAAGCTGATGCAAAAATACAATGAAGGAATAGGTGGCTGTGTGTTTTTTGCTTTGACGTTAATCGGTCGTCTATTTACGTTTTAACTGGTTGAATTCCTTATTGTTACTTGTTTGATTTGTATATAACTGTTCATGGTTGATTTATTGTGTCAATGTGTTTTGGGAAGTTTGTATTGGAGTTGTATCTATTTTCCACGAATCATCTCATCCAACTTGTATGAATCTGGTATTATAAGATTATGATTGTGGAAGTTGCATATCCTGATGGGAATACTAGATCTGTTTGCATATGTTGAGTGTGGACAACACTAAGTGTCTTAAGGGCTCTGAGTGCTCTTGAGGCCAAATCTATCTTGGATTGATGCAGAGTCATCATTAATAGAGGTCACTTGGTCCTTCAGTTAAGTGGCATTGGAACGCACTATTTAATGCAAATGTCAAGTTTCATCTCCTAAGCTAGGAAGGCATGTTGGTATTATCGACCTAGTGATTCTGCCAGAAATCCTATAAGATTCTGCCAGAAATCCTATAAAAAACCTCATGGGGGAGCACCATGAGATGGTCAGGCTCACTGCAATCTTTGCGAGCTTGTGATCATTTCCTTCGATTTCTAATGGTGCATGAGGATGAAAATTTCCTTTTGTTTTCCATGATGTCTCAGGCTATGATGAGTATCTTCTCCTTATTAGCCTGCACCTTGCATCTGCATTTCCCTTATTCTTGACCTCCATGGAAGAGGAGCTGAGGCTTCCTTATATTAGCTTTCTGTATCTCATCTCTGCACCTATGGTCGACGATCTTTACAAAATACTGTGTTGGTGTGTATTCTGGGAAAACTTCATCCCCATTAGGGGTGATACACTAAGGAGTATGCAACTGGAACTGTGGTGTGACGCTCTTGTTGAGGACTATTCCATTATAATTGGATTCCTGGGTAGCTTTAGGAGTTTGCTTATACTTGAAACTATGTCACCTTCAACATTGTGGATTTAACAACTTATATACATATAGTACATAAATGCAAGAATACAAGTATTGTTGAAAATGATTTTGAATCCGAATTATTTTAGGAATAGGAATCGTGGAAATGCGGCCAGATAGAAGATTCCTGTTTTCAGAATCAACATCCATACAAGAGGTATCGAGATACGACTAAAATGATATCAACGTCCCTACATAGATGGAATCAAGATTCCTAGCACTATGGAATCGAGTTTCCGACCTATTTGGAATTGACCAATAAAGAATCAAGATTCCTTCATTTATGGAATGGAGCTTCCTAGGCATTTTGAATTGAGATTCATACCAATTCGGAATCAAGATTCATAGCAATTTAGATTCTAGTTTCGAGTCATCTGGCAATCGATATGTGTAACCCCCTTATATTCAAGCATCAAGCAGACACATGGATAGTCTTGATTCTTTGTTCTACTTGGCAATAAGTATTACCAAACCATTTATAACTTGTTACCAAACCATTTATAACTTGTTACCAAAACAATAGTCTGATACCGACGTACAAA